CCTGAAAACTGAAGCGATTATGGGGTTTCGTCGTGAAAATAACCTGGATTACTAGTAAAGTGCGCGTGATTATATGTGCAAATTACTGCAAAATTGTTTTGCTTCGGGAACAAAGCCTGCATCGAATTTTGAACTGAAACGTGAACAAGTACGTAGCTACGACGATTATAATTCAAGATCGATTTATGGAATCGTCATATTTGGTTTGTAGGACCAACAAAAGCAGAAAAGGCAAGTTAACGTAATGCTTTTCTGGTTATTAAACTTATTCACTAAATATTTACAAAGGAGCTAAGCGTGCGTGTCGGCCATGTTGTCGCAGATTTCTAGCCATGCTTTTATCACTGGTAGTGATTTGTCAATTAAAAATCGATCTGTGTAACATCGCCTTAACAAAAGTTTCTTGACCATGCAACATATTTAAAGTGTTAGTCTCATGATTAACCAATACACTAGTACCATACCTTTTTCACACAACTTTCCATGGTATCCCTCCTTACATACGCAGTTGAATGGTTTAACTGGATCCCAAATCATTGTTTCGCCATTATGACATTCATTGACTTCTCCTCTGCAGGATGCCTGGAAAACATCACATTGTGTGGTCACACTGAAGTACTACTAAGTAGCCGTCAATAGGGTTACTGAAAAAAATTTCCCAACTTTATTAATTACTTAAAATGTGCATTCATTTTAAGTGCATAATTAATGGTAGTAAATGGTACGCTTGAATGCTGATTAATTTAAAACAATCATTAATAATTCATGTGGAAAGAACAAAGCAAATCACTTTTATGTGATAAAAAATCATGTTAATTTACATCAACTTCAGCTTTGATTTTCTCTGCTTAGACAACGTTTATTTTATAAAATTACTTCGCTAATAAACTCATAAGATGGGTCGTTTTTTTTAAGTCATTTAAAGCGCTTGTACATGTAGTCCTGCTTTATCAGATATAAAACACTCGTACTTTATATGTCACAAAGCTATCCTGGCCGTTCAAATGCTTACCATCATGCTTCTGTCTACATCAACACTTCTCAACGTCCAAACTTTCTCTTTTCCCCTGGAATTTTCGTCAAATTTTGGTTGAGTAGTGTTAGTTAATTGGCAATTGTGTTCTTTCTCTTCAACTCCATCCTTGAAGTTAATTGCAGCACAGAAACGGTTTCCTGCACAACGAAGTCCACAAAGCTTATAAACACTCTCCGTATATTCCGCGATGATGTTTGTTTTTATTCTGGGCACATCTGTAAAACAGGTGAAAACTAATGCTAAAGGTCCACACACTGACTGATAACTTTGATCCTAGTTTAAAATTTCCAAATATTTAGAAGCACTATAACATTTTAAGTTATTTGGTCTACATATCTTTCAAAATTTTCTCTCATTGGCTATTTTATTAACTTTCAAAAACTGAAAAATCGCGTCGCGCTGCCGAATTGCGCCTCGTGTGTCTGGACCTTAAAGCGTAATAGATGGCACTCGGATATTATAAAACAGCTCCGCCAGCAAATTGAAGCCATGTTCACATTGTATCACATCGTTTTTTGCTTCTGTCGCGAAACGTTACGGCACAAGTATAGACAGCTTCAACCCCCGCCCTTCTTCGACTTCGTCTTTTCTCCTTAATAACTTTACGAAAAAGGAAAGCGTTGCATCAATACGCCATTTGAAAGAGTGAGCAAGAAGACTGGAATATTTCAATATTTACAAGTTTAAGCTATCACTTATAAGAGAAGAGAAGTATAAATGGGTTGTGTATGAAAGAGATATCATTTGACCATTCATAAACTAAAATAACATAAAGTAGAGAGCGTTGAGAGAGCTAAAAGAGTGAAACACTCGCAAAACTCGCACGACTCGCAGGCTCGCACGACTCGCACGACTCGCAGGCTCGCACGACTCGCAGGCTCGTACGACTCGCAGGTTCGCACGACTCGCAGGCTCGCACGACTCGCAGGCTCGCACGACTCGCAGGCTCGCACGACTCGCAAGCTCGCACGACTTGAGAAAATTTGTGTCCAATATGGGGATGACATTGTAGTTGTAGTTTTTAATTTACAAGTTTGTTCCGCTTACAAATAGAAAATATTTCGATGTACGTGAGGAAATTCTCCGTCCTTTGAGGTAAGACGGCAGACACAAGGAAAAGTGTACCAGACTATAAAGCGTATATAAACTAACTGCCATTAATAGGCAAAGAGAGTATTAGAATACATTTTGCTAAACGGGAAATATTTTTGGTGAAATATATTTATATATTTTCAGCGAGGCATAGAAATTGTATGTTGCGGTTTTATATTATTCAACAAATTGCGCCGGACGCACTTAAAACCAACACGAAAGACGCGCGGAAGGTTACGCGCGGGTCGTCTTAAAATCTGAACCTAGGTTTTGAACTATGAAAATCTATTGTAAATCCTCTGTAAAAGTTTCATATTTTTCCTTTCGACAAATTCAAGAGACCCATTGTACTATTTCAGACAAATTATAAAAAGTAATGCAGATTGACTTTCGGCGATGTAAAATGGGGAATTGCTCTGGTCCGTTAGTCGAAACCATAATGTTATGCTGTCCAGCTGCGAAATCATCCAGCACATGAAACACGAAAAATATTACCACAGAAATCTTCAGGATACGAAAGAAATTCATGTTGAAGCGACGAACGTCAACTTTCAACTGCGTTTGTTCGGAACGGGATAAATGTAATACGCGGCCGTTCCTCATACTAATGCGTTACGATTGACTTTATAATAGGCCACCACAGGTGCTTGTAACATGCATGTCATTTTTTAATTACTAGGAACACACTCATTCTATTTGGTACCTACGTTACTGAAAAATACGATATGAATTTTTAGTGGACTTTTACAATCTCACTCCTCATAGATGGAATTTCAATTTGTCGCCTTTTGGAGACCTTTTTTGAAGCATATTTATATATAAGTAAAAAATGGAAGCACGAGTTAATTTAACATTTTATTTAACGACAAGACTTTGAATATAGTGAAACCGTTCGGGCTTATAATAGCACAGCAGGGAAAAGTGCAAGTGCAACTCTCTAAAATGTTTTATTGCACATTTTTAGACACGATATAGCTGTTCTTTGTTTTTTCTTTTTCACTAATATTGGCAAAGTGGATCGGAATTGAGCTACTTCAAATAGCTGCATTTGTAAAAAAATATTTTAGTGTAATTTAGTGTCTATAGGTCTATTGTCATTAACCTTTGGATAGGAATTTTAAGGCTCCAAAATATCGTTTACATGGAAACCCACCTAAACACTCTCATCCACACATTAGCATAAGACTTTGTGTCTGCAAAATTTCATTTCCCCCTACAGAGTTAATTTACGACCACAATCATTCTATTTGACGCTTACATTACAATATATATATATATATATATCTATGATAGACTGTTATAACCTCACTCTACGTATAGACATATTTGGCATTTAATTGAAAAGATTTCTATTTTGCTGAATCTTTTTTACTTATAGTAGCCTAGCACAGCGAAAAAATTAACTCTCAATAAATATTTTATTACACCTTTTTATACAGAGCTGCAGCTGTCGTTATTTTTTTCTTTTTCACTACTTGGCAAACAGGGGCAGAATTTTCAAGTGCTGTGGAAAAAAAATTCATTTGGGGGATTCTGTTCTTAACAACTAAATATCGGTTCTATATTTACAAAAGCAAATCTAGTCCATTTTAAAGCTTCCAAACATCGTTTACATGGAAATCAATCCAAACGCTTTATCAACACATTGCCATAAGGCTTTTTGTCTGACAAATTTACATTTCCTTCCCAATTGCAGAGTTAATTTAATTTGAAAGTTTTACCGAACATTTGCCATAACTTTCGCGTGAAAGTGCACTTTAAAATTCATAACTTTTAAACCTAACAACCTCGTTTTAAGGCTAACAAGCTGTCAATATTTTGCTCTTAGCTATATGATCTTTAATTTGAGCAAAACGGCTTGAGCAAATTATAATGTGTGTGATGATAAAAGTTACTAACAACCTTAACGTTGACCCTAACCTACCCATTGTTTTGACACTATCTGACTGTTTTAACCTGCTTTGAATTACCTCGCAACACTATGTGTTTAAGCGAAGTAGTAACAACGATTTGCACGACAGGAATTGCATGCACAATTCATTGTCTGGCACCGTGCGTACAACTGGGAATTTTCGCGCGCTTTTGTTGTACTTGGCTTTCATGTTTGTATTATAAATTAAAGGACATTGGCAATAAAAAATTAGTTTGTCTCATTCAAACGAACTCCTAAAATTATATATTAAACTCTATTACCGATTTGTCATATCTTGCTTAGTTCTCGAAATATTTAGGCCGAAATCAATGAGCTTTCCGCCATCTTGGAAAAACTCTTTACCTCATTAACTATGGTTTTAATGACGTCAGGAGTTGGGTTAACCATATAAAACTAACCTGGAATGATCGAATAACAATCCAAAATTGTTTGAAATGTTTTTAATCATTTCTAAATTTCTGGCAGCAACCAGAAACGAAAATTTGGACCCATATTGATCGCTTACTCTCAAGATAAAAAATTAGCGTTACCCCTCTCTTGACGTAACATGCATATCCTCAATAATCCAAGATGACGAACAGCTCACTTTTTTCAGTCGAAATATTTTGAAAACTAAGCAAAATATAAACAATCTGTAATAGAGTTTAATATATAGTTTTAAGAGTTCTTTCAAATGAACTAAACTAATTTTTTATTGCCAATGTCCTTTAAGGCTCAAATTGGAATTTTAAACATGTCTTCAAACATGCTAGCGATTCGTATTACTGTTTTTATAATGACGTCGGTTACCAGGCGTAAGCGAGTTTTTTGTCCGGCAAAATATATTTTATTGATCATAACTAGATATAAATCCATGCGACAACCCCTTGCCCTTATTAATTAAATACGCCAACGCTGAACGCAGGCTTGCGTTGTTGCGTCATGTAAGCCATGGCAACACATTCGTGAAATTAGTTGACAATAGCATAGCTTACAAACGACAAATAACGAAGCTGCAATCACTTTCAAAAGTTGTTGGGACACATGTCCAGTTTTAGATTGAAAATGGATCATTACAGTTTGTTACACACAATAACGCTCCCCTCCCCCCTCCCCCAATCAATGTTGCTTAAACTAAAACACATCAAATCTGACGAGAAATGGCACACAACATTGAACAGAG